GGCCATCGAAAGATCTGTTTTTCCTCTAGGGATGGTCGTTTGGGAGGAAACGTCTATGGCCTATGAAACCAATTTTGTTTCTCAGGCATTCGGAGCATGGATTCTCATCACAGTGCACACATGCGAAGTAACCCCTAGTAGTTCTGTCTGACATGGTGCCTAATGCAGGGTAGTCATTGATTCCCCACAGAATCGCTGCACGCAGACTGAATTCTTTGCCTTCATATGCATCATAAGTAGGGACACCTTCCCAAAGAGTTAGCATGTCTGCTATCAAAGGCTGCATGAACACATGGAAATCTTTGCCTGGTGAATTTTTGCCTGGAATTATTAAAGCAAGCATATAATTGGATTGGTCCATACACATCCATGGTGGAAAATTGTATGGAACCACTATCACTGGCCAGATGCTGTATGAATTGGTCATCTGACCAAATGGGTTGAATCCATCAGTAGCAATGGCTAACCTCAAACTACGGGGATCATCTACAAAAGACTTGAAAGTATTATCAAATTCTTTCCAAGCTTCTCCATCAGCAGGATGTCTCATTTCATTCTCAACTGGTACCCTCTTTTCCTTGTGCCATCTTGCATACTGTGCCTGCTGCTTTGAGATAAAAAGCTTTAGAAGGCGTGGAATTATTGGAAAGTAACGGAGGACCTTGTGAGGAACTTTCTTTTTGCCCTCCTTGTTCACTTTCCATCTTGTGAAGCCACAAACTGGGCAATGATCATCGTCTTCATGGTCCTTCCAAAATAAGGCACAATCATACTTGCACACATCAATACAAACATAACCAAAACCAAGCTTCCGAAGTAGAGCTTTCATTTCGTTATAGGACTTAGGGAGGCCGGTCACATTCGTCAAAGATGTCGAAAGCAACTCAAGGAAAGCATCGAACCCAGAATTTGTTATCCGATTGTACACTTTTATATGCAGCAGTTTAATAATGAAAGTTAGCCTAGATTCCTCGGTGCAACCTGGATAAAGCTCACGCTTTGCCTCTTCCATGATTTCTTTATATAAGTTACCACCAAAGCCATGGCTTGCTGCAGTGTGCAAATCTTGAATCAACCCCTGAACTCCCCGTGCACTATCTTCTATGACATCTTTAGCTTGTCCTTCGTCATCAAGTGTTGCCTGGTCATTTCCCTCCCATGACATATCTTCAGGTACAACAGTGAGTTCTCCATCATCATCTTGTTCAACATCATCATCTCCCTCTCCATGGTCAATCCACCTTGTATAGGACCTAGACATACCATTGATTTTGATATCCTCATGTACCTCATCTTGGCTTTTTTCTATTTGGTTCAGGCATTTTCGGCATGGGCACTTGATTTTCTCATCTGCACTATATCTACTTCTGACATGTTCCATGAATTGTGCAACACCAGACAAATAGGGCGCAGTAAATGGGGCACTGTTATAAATCCAGCTTCTATCCATCTCGACCTGGGCGGCACTGCTGCTGGTGGGGGGGATAGCTCCACTGCCTCTCGTTGTATGAATTTCTCGAGTCCTTCAATCAGAAGACGCTCAAATACACTATGGTGCTCCTGCTTCTTGTCTTTGTACCCATATCTGTGCTAAAAACAAGCTAATGTTAGGGGAGGTTTTGCTGTTGATTCCATATGTTGAAGCTTAAAAATCCCTACAGCTTAAACTTTGCAACTATTTAAAACCGTAAGGTTAATCTTGCATGTACCATTTAATTTGCAAATGTATCATGACTGTGCTTTAGCTCTTTTTTCTGCAATTCACAGGTGCCTGACTTTTCCTAGCCATACTCGCTGTTGTACTGTACCTACTGAAACTGGACTCTTGATTCTTTGGGGTTTTTTTCTGCCTCTATTTTCTCCTCTTTTATGTTGCTGCAGACAAAAAGTCTGTGTGGAAGATGTTTGAACTTAAGCTCTTATATATTGGAATCCAACCACTCAACAAATAGGAGATTCTACTGTGGTAGGAGTCTTTTAGGTTACCTTTTTTTTTACAGAGAGTCTTTCAGGTTTTAGGCTGCATAGTCATGTAAGATCCATCTGTCATGATTATCGATTTGGAATCAACCTTAGTGTATGTTCTGTGTGTATACATGTCCATGTGGTATTGAATCACTAACTGAATGTCTTCATTACAAGAATTGCTTTACCTGTGCATTGGTTGGTACATCAAGTAGACAAGTATATGAACTACTATCAGCATTTGTGATGGAATTATACAAGAATATCAACAGGACAAAGCATGGGAGGTAGCTTCGTGTACTGAAGAGGACGGGTATACTGAAGAGGTAGCTTCGTGTACTGAAGAGAACTACTATCAACAGAACAAGTATATGAACTAATAACAAAAGAGGACGGGTAGCATCATTACCCACTAAAATATTCCAGAGATCTGCTGAGAAGCTTCGTGTACTGAAACTTTGCCTCTGTCCTTTCAGCTTTTCTTCACCACGGGTGGCCGGCGCTGCTGCTTGTGAGGGTGGGCGGTGCTGCTGCTGGTGGGGGGAGGGGGCCGACGGGAGCAGGTGGCGTGCCCGGCCAGGCTCCAGCTGGGGTGGACGGCCAGGCTCCACCACGGGTGGCCGGCGCGGCATGAGCGAGGGATCAGCTGTGGTCGCTGGCCAGGCTACCTCTGGGGGCGCCGAGGCTGTTGATGGGGGGGGGGGCCGGCGCTGCTGCAGGTGGCTTGGCCGGCCAGGCTCCAGCTAATTAGCCTTGAGTGCCATGTGGTCCAAAGTTTCAATGACATGCAGGCCCAGCATGCTCATTAGCCTCCCATGTGGTGCAAACATCAATTCTTTTTTTGATCTATGGCAAAAACTTCTAACAAGTTTTTCTCCCACATACTAGCTCCAAATCTGTTGTTTTATTTTCCTAAAATTTTCTAAAATCATGATCTATCAATGTATAGCGTTGATTTTGGCTCCATCATCATGTGTCAAAGTTTGAACAAATCAAAATTTGAATATAAAAAAATTACAACTTTACACCACATTTTGAAACTCCAAATGATTTCAGCTAAAAAAATCACAAACATCAAAGTTGAACAACTCATCAAGACCTGCATTTTTTGTATTGGTCATTTGTTCATCCGAGAAAGTGGTAGTAACTTAGTTCATAAATTTTACATTCTCTCTTAGAGTTTCATGAAGTATAAGTGAGAGATCTAATTTCTGTGAACAAAGTTATTGTCACTTTGTCGGATGAACAAATGACCAAAACAAAAATTGTAGGTCTTGATGAGTTGTGCAACCTTTGTGTTCATCACTTTTTAATTTGAAATTATTTAGTACCCCAAATTTTTGTTAGAAGTTTGAATATTTTGAAATTCAAATCTCAAACTATCGAAACAAAGTCATACGAAGAAATAACCAAAACCAAATTAGTAGATCTCGACGCGTTGTACAACTTTGTTTCAGACATTGTTTGCATTTTCAATCGTTTATTAGCCAAAAAATCCATTTGAAGTCCTAATACTACTCAAACGGTCACTGACATAGTGGACCCACTGCACTGGACAAAAATGTGGCTAATTTTTCAAAGCTGCACCTCACACTCCCGCGTTGATTCGCTCGCCGACACATGGGCCCCACCACGCCTCCCGCTCAAGGCATCCAAGCCCCCGCGGCCTTATCCTCTTGCCCACGGGTCAGACCAAGGGGAAATCCCCAATCTCCTTCTCCCTCCACTCTCGCCACCGCTCCGCTCGCCACTCACCGTCCGCCGCCACCCCGCCTGCCGCAACTCTGCCTCCACCACCCCGCCCGCCACGACAAGCAAGTCGTCCCTGACCTGACCCTAACCCGTGCGCCTCCCCGTAGACGGCGGCAGAGCCGCCTCCTTGCCCTCTCGCCATCGGCCGGCGACGGTGGCTGCTTCCCCGAGCCAGTAGGTGCTGGCTTCTACCTCCGACGTTCCCCTCCCCTTCCTCTGGTTTCTACCTCCGCCATTCCCCTTCGTCTTCCTGGTAGCTCTTTGCGTTCCTGTGGATCTGACATTTCCCTCGTGAATCCACACGGCTCAGATCGGGTGGTAGATCTGGTTGGGCTAGTCGCGGTTCGAAGCAGCTGCCGAGCTAGTCCGCGGCTACGCGCTGCCGCCGGGGGCTTACGGCGTCAGTTCTGGATAGGAAAATGCCGCGCACGAACTGAGCTACTAGTGTGTTTCAGGTATCCGCAAGACACGACCGTACCGGATGTTTAGAGATTTATAAATCATCGTGTCATGCATTGCAGTTTGTTCTAGAACTATACTCTGAGTCATGCCTAAACACTTAACTCTAAGGGCATGTGAGAGGGTGGCGGATCATGGAAATGCTTTTGTATTTCACTTTGTTTTGGAATCAGGCTCGCTCTCCATCGTATTTGGACATACTACTCTAATTTATATAGGCACTAGAGAGACTGAATCTGTCAAATCGTCATCAGACAGTTCTGAGTGATAAAGGGCAAAAAATCCTTTTTCTTTTTTTTCTTTTTTGAGAGAAGAATCCTTTCTTTGTTTAATATTTGGTGGTAGTAGAGAGAGAAAGTTACTGCACCAGGTTGTGATAAGTCTAGACTTACCATTTACCAAGACCAACATGATCCTTGTAAGATTAGTCTTACAAGGATATATCATCTACAAAGCTCAAGATGAATAATAATGTGACATGTTTAGTGCACTGCCGTTTCATACTTGTTTTATTCACCCCAACATGCTAAACAAAAGAATTATGAATTTGTGACATGTTTATTGAAATCTGATATTAGTTGCATCTACAGCCCATAGAAAAAGGCACCCCGACATGCTCTTTGTATCAAGATACACAAAGCAGTACGATATTAGCTCCATTTTGTTTCATTTACAATTTCAATGGTTTGACTAACTATTAGACTACTCCTTTTGGTTCGTTTACAATTTCTCTACTGATCTGTTAGGTTTTTTTCAACTCTTTTACAGAAACTGAATCCAGTTTCTGCTCTTTCTACGTTTGGTCGTAATAAGTAATACAAGAAATGACAACAACCAAGTACGAGCAGGAGAGGGATGCGAATGTAAAGGCTGTTCAAGAGGTTTTAAGTCTTTCGGTATTGCGGTGTTAGCTCAGACTGTTAGTGATGTTTTTTTCAAAACAGAAAGGGGGCAAAGGGAAGAGACTAGTATCTGACAATCCAGAATCTGACACTGAGTATGATCCTTCATCTGACATTGATAACCAATCTGACAGCGATGATAATTCTAATGATGACCTCAATAATGAGGTCAATACTGAGGTGAGATGGATTACTTGGACAATTAATAAGTTTCTGGTCTCTCCATTTGAAACATATATACTTCATTGTAGTTAATTAATCTACTTGACACTTCTTTCATAATTAATAAGATGCATTTTTCTCTTGCTAGGAAAGACCAATGGTTCCAGGAACTCGCCCGCAGCAGAAGAAGCAAAAGGTGGAAACAATGGCGGTTGCGAACCAGCAGTCACCGCGCACGCCAACCAGAATCACTAGGCAAAGTGCAGCCATGCCTTCACCTGCAGGCCATCCACTGCCTAGGCCAAGACATCCCTTGCCTCCTAAGAACACTTTGAAAGCCAACCCAAAACCAAATGCCATTTCTAGTAGCAGCCAACTGCAAGGCCACCACACTACAAGCGGCAGCCACACCACAGAAACTACTGACACAGTGCCTACTCCTCCAAGAGTCACCAGGACCAGTCCAGCCATGTCTTCGCCTATTCCAAACACACAGCCTAGTCCTTCTAGATACACCAGGAAAAGTGAAGCCATGCCTACGCCTGGTGCAAACACAGTACCTAGTCCTCCTAGATTCACCAGGACCAGTGCAGCCATGTTTGCTCCTGGTGCAAACACAATACCTAGTCCTCCTAGATTCACTAGGTCCAGTGCAGCCATGTCTTCGCCTGGTGCAAACACTGAGCATAGTACTCCTAGAGCCATTGCTACCCTATCTCAGCAACCTACTCCCACAACTAGTGTTAACCAAGCATTCCTGCAGACACCTCACCAGGTGGACAGAGCTCTAGGCAAAGCAATGACATCAATGAGTCAGCTGAGCAATTTGATGCCGCTAATTCTGAGGGTCATACATATGAAGGAGAACCAAGAGATGACTTAGTTCCAGGTAAACAATATGAGTTTCTAAGCATTTGTTTCTCCATTCATTATCTACAATTGTTACTGCTTTAATAACACATTTTGATCATTATTTGCCAATGCAGCGCCCCCAAAGAATGTCCGCAAGAAAACCATGGGTCATGGCTTAGAGAAGATGCTAAATAGAGGAAAGAAGTTGGCTATCCAAGTGGCTGAAGGGAAGAAAAGACCTGATGTCCCACTTCAGGCAGCGAAGCTGGCATCAGAAACTGGTGTTGCCCTTAGAGACAACATGCCCATCTACACATCATGGAAGCTTTATGACAATGATGCGGGAAAGGCAGAAGTAAAAAAAGTGCTTGACAAAGTGGTGGTGAGACAGCTATTTCACTCCTCGAAATACTCTCTTGCATTACTCTACTCCCATGTGAAAAATTGTATCTAATAAATGATTTGTGTGGCTTCAGTCAAGGTTGGATGTGGATGTTAAGAATGAGGCACCAAGTAAAGCTGCATGCACTGATATCATTAAGAGGGGAGTAAGGCAGACGAGGTATCACCTGAAAAAGAAGTACTTCGACGAGTCACTGACAGAAGAACAGCTGCTGGCCAAGCAACCTCCACCTAAAATGAAGAATGAGGAATGGACCAAGCTGGTAGAGTACTGGTGTGACCCAAAGAATCAGGTCCATGCCTGAATTATCTGCTTTTGTTAATATGCAATGCAAACTGTGCATGTGAATGACAACTCTGTATTGCATGTGGTGCAGGAAAAATGTGCTAAGAATAAAGTAAACCGAGCCCAAGTGCAGCTTCATCAAAGGACTAGAGCTAGGTCCTATATTGCCCATCGATACAGCCTGATACGGATACTATGTCTTTTGTACATTTGTAGCTTAGTAATTACCATGTGCTTTTGAACTGTCAAGTTAGCACATGCTCCAATTATTCCTGAGATGAGCTCCCATGTTCATAATATTTGCGCTGTGCCGAGTGAGCTATAATCAATAGGTGTTTAGGCTCCAATTCTTTTTTGGTGACCATTTGAAACTAAAATCTGCAAGAGGAATTGCTATGTCATCAGAGTTATTATTCTTGATCTGTCCAGGTTGCATTGATGCATGTTCCTGTGTTGTTTTTCTTGAACTGTCAGTAATTAGTTGACTTTGCTAGTGATTGTATTTGTTGTTGGCATAAAAAATCTAGAGGCAAATACTTGTATGATCTGTAGTGCATACATATTTTGGCATCTTGCTATTGGCATGTACAAATAATCTATGGCTAATCTTATATCCCAAGTTTTTAACATGCTGCAGAGGACTAAGTACAACAACATGGAGCCAGATGCTGTTGATTTCTTTGGGGAATGTATGAGTAGTCCCCAAAATGGTCGTACTCCTCTTGCAAATGAAATATATGTAAGTTACAAAATCAATGGATACATGCATGTACTGCACTCAAGTAAATGCCTGGTTCAACATTGTTGTATGGCCTTGTTATTAAGTGGATTCATTTTATGTAGGAACAAATGGTTGCAGAGAAGGAAAGAGACCCAGAAGAAGGAGAAGAACAAAAGTCTCCCTCTAAGATTGTTGCTGACTGTCTTAGCCAGATCAGCCGTTCATCCACCTTACTTCCTAACATTGGTGTCCCTCGGCCATCGAAGACTGGCCGGTCCACATCGACAGCCACACAAGCACGCCTGCAAGCTCAGTTTGAGGAAACACTCCAAGCAGCAAGAGAGGAAGCTGCTAGGAAGCAGGAAGAGTTGCAAGCACAACTTCAAGCTCAATAGGCCACACTTGAAGAAAACCAAAGTTTGCATCGTCAAACCCAAGAGGAAGTGAAGGGGATGCATACCAAGTTTGAAGAGACTAATGCACTGCTACGAGCTATCCTAAAACTTCAGAAAGATTGAGGTAGGTATGAATGCAGTGTTTGAGGATGATGCCTTTGCCTAAGCTTTTGCTACCTTGCTAGAACTTACTCTATGGTTGGAACTTTGTCAGAACTCAGAACTATGTGCAATCTGTTTGTATGTTTGAACCTTTGTGGTGGAACCTCTGTATGTTTGAACCTCTTGTAGTGGAACATGCCTAATGGAACCTGGAACTATGTGGTGGAACAAGTGTGCTGGAACATGTTGAACCACTGTCTTCTGGTCTTGAATTTATGTGTATGCATGATGGCTTGACTGAATTGTGTATGATTTATGACTTGTGATGACAATGTTGTGGATGATGGCTTGGCGGATATATATGTGTATTATGCTTTTATGAGCTGTGATGAAATATCATTGTGTCGTCACTGAATATGGCTGCCACGCTCGTCATGAATGAGAGGACAATTTGTGACGCCATACAGTCGTCTCAAAATGTCTCTAACTACCATACAAAACAAGACAAAATCTAGGCGTCACAAAATCCACATACTTATATATGACGTTTCTGTGTCGTCAAAAAAACTTATCTGAGACTGGCCTCGCACATACCATTTATGATGTTCTGTACATTAGGTGACGCGTTGACTGACCAATATGTGACAGTTACAGTCGTCATAAAATATAACAATATGTGACGGAAAGACACAACCGTCACAAAAGGTCATAACATTTTGTGACAGTTCTCAATATTATCGTCACAAGGTACATTATGTGACGGTCATTATATGACGACTGGCATGACGCTGCTTTTTTGTCATAAGACACTTTTTATGACCAATTTTGTACTTACCATGACAGTGTGCTTATGTCATACAAACCATTTTTTTGTAGTGAAGGGCCAAGCTCCCGGTCGGGTAACTCTGTGGATAGCCCCGGGCCTTCCCCACGCACAAGTGGGTCTCCGGTGTGCCTTCCGGCAAGCCTCTCCCAGACCGCTCCCCGCCGTCTTCACTATCAAGCTTCTGGCCGAAACCACCGCGGGCCTTGTTACCTTCGGTACACGGTGGCGGCCACACCACAAACACGGTTGGTGTGATCTTGCATGACTATAAGCCCCTCCGATGTACAACAATGGTGTGCACAAGCACCAAGTGATAAGAGGTATGCAAACCTCACTAAACACTAGGCCTAAACCTAGAGCAAGCGCAAAAGTAGTGATCTAATCAACCTAAGCACTTCGCAAAGCACCTACGCTAATCACCTAATGTATCACTGAGCACTATGCAAGTGAAGATCACTAAAATGGTGTATCAACACCCTTGGTATGTTTCCTTAGCTTCACTCCACTCAAATGGCCGGTTGGGGGTCTATTTATAATCCCCACTGCGTTGGGAACAAAACCGAGCTTTCTGCTACTGACCGGACGCTGATCACGTCTAGACCAGACGAATCCGGTCGTCCCGACCGTTGGAGGGCGCGCGTTGATCGGACACAGCTCAGAGTTCGGTCATCATCGACCGGACGCGTCTGGTCGTGTTGCCGCCGCTCTGGAACCTCTCTGGACTTGATCGGATGCTGCACTTCGTGCGTCCGGTTACACTGAAAATACTGTCGTGACGATGAACAGTGTCACCGATGCGTCCGGTCATTGCTTCGCTCAATGTCCGGTCACTGTTGCTCAGCGTCCGGTCACAGCTGCCGACGCCTGCTGTTGCCTGGCACTTGATCGGAGCATCCGGTCACTCATAGGACCGCGTCCGGTCACCTCTGCCGGGCTCGTTTTTTCACGATCTTGCGTCCGACTTGGTTCCAATCTTCATGCTTGGACTTTGCTTGACCTTGTATGTCTTCTATGCATCTTCACATGTCTTTCTTGAGGTGTTGATCATCGGATCATCACGTCGCCTTCATCCAAGTCACGTCTTGCACCCTATTGAACTACAAAACAATTACTTGCAAATTCATTAGTCTAATTTGGTTGTGTTGATCATCAAACACCAAAATCCAAAGTAAATAGGCCTGGGGTCCATTTTCGTTACAATCTCCCCCTTTTTGGTGATTGATGACAATACGACCAAAGCAAGTAAATAATAAAAATTTTGGAATTTAAAAACTATCTACTTGCTAGGATGCAATGCAAAGGGCAAGATTATATGATGCTGAAAAGCACCACATGTAACCATCTTTAGAAACTTATCTTGCCCTTGCAAATGTCCCCATATGGCATTATGGATTTAAGTCTCCCCCTAACTCCATAATCCACTATCCTCCCTCTCTCGGACCATTACCACTTGTAAATTATTATTATCGGACTTGCTTTTGGTCCTACAAATTCTCCCCCTTTGGAATCAAACATCAAAAAAGAAGACATTAGTAGCACAAGGGAGGGTCAAACTTTGTGATCCTTTGTATGTGGAGTGGAATAGGTCACAAAATTTGACTCTCACATTACATAGACTAAGCTGCCCCTAAATATATACATACATATGATGAAGAATGTAGTTTGTGCATAATTGGCAAATTAATGCTCAAGGGGGTTTAATCTATATAATGCATGGAGAAAGCATATAAATACCAAAGTGGAATCAACATGATGATATCGGTTTAGAAATACCACATGTGGAAACCAATTTGATTTATACCACTAGCAATAGGTGGTGGATATTTGAAGTATGATGCTTAATTCCGGGGACTCCATTTTCCTTGCAATGAGACTACTACACACATGATAAGCTTAAAAAGGTGTTAGTCTCAAAGCATCCAATTTGTAGAGTAACCTCCCCCTAAATTTGTGCACACAAGTATGAAATACTTGTAGGAGACATGCACATTGATTTAAGACTCAAAACTACCACTTGAAAGATGACATCACATGAATGTGAGAATCATTTTCGAAGGTGATATTTGGGAGAAATTATCTACAATTTAGACTTTGGCACATATTAGATGAACAATTGTAAAACAAGCTATGTGTCGTGCTCCTAAACAATTTAAGCCATGTAGGTTTGCTCTAAGGGTTAAGAGTGAAACCGAGCAAGCCTACCATAAGATATACCTAGTGTATGCAAGACAAAAGATTAAACAAGCAAATGCAAACCTAGACATAAAAAGGAAATAGATGCTAATTGAAATTGCAAGAAATTGAATCTAGCTACCTAACATGGGGAGGGGAATTTGGGTCTATAGTATTCACTAACCCACTTGGCAATTACCTTGTCTATAATGATGCATTCCATGAAATGCACCCATACTTTGCCAAGTCTCCAAATTCCCCGAACTCCATCGGCCTTCTCACTTCTCTTTCGGGATCCAAACCTTCTTGGTGCTCTTCATGTTGGAAATGATCTTCTTTGGCACCCAAATGCGTTTGGCCCCATTGTTGGCTTGCTTGTTCACCTTGATGACCACCACCTTGTCATTTTTCTTCTTCTTCAAGAGATAAGGTGTGGAGGCCTTTTTGTCCACCTTGTTGGTGTAGGTGTTGGAGAGCTTGCTTGTTTCCTTTTTGTTTTTGTCTTTCTTCTAAGCTCCTCCCCCATTCTTCACCTTGCACTCATAGGACTTGTGGCCTTCCTTGTGGCACACGTAGCAAACCACAGTTTGTCCTTCATCAAGCTTCTTCACTCCCTTGACGGTGTTATCTTGATGAAGTTGGGCTTGCTTTGTCTTGCCTTTCACTTGAGTCAAGTCCTTGGTGAGGAGAGCTACTTCTTGCTTGAGTTGCTCATTCTCCATTGCAACCTCTTGTGTGCATGTATCTACAACAACTTTCTCAACACAAACTTGGTTGCACAAGGGTGAGTCTAAACATAAATCATTGCATGAAGTAGAGGCATCCCTTTTAGACATGTCAAAGATAGAACTTTTCTTTTTAGGTGCCTCGGTGAGGGTTGTACCAATGGCTTCAAGATTAGCAACTTTATTAGTTAGCTCATCACAATGTTTGCACATGGTTTTCATTTTAGCGAGCAAACTTTTATAATCATCTTGTGAGCTAGCTAATTTTTTCTTTTATTTTTCATTTTTCTTTACAAGTTGCTCATCATTGATTATGCAATTATTTGTGTTTGCACTAGTCTCAAGTTGCTCAATTTTAGTAGATAGCTCCATATTAAGATTGGCAAAAGTTTCATATTGTTCAAGCAAATTAGCATAAGCTTGTTGTGAGCTATCTAGTTTTTCTTTTAATTTTTCAAGCTTCTTTTGTTGACTAATGCAAACTTTAGCAAAGTTAAGATTTTGTTGCATAATTTCATCATAAGAAGGTAGCTCATCATCACAATCACTATCATTGTCACTATCACTAGGGATAGGCTTTTTGTTACCTCGTGCCATAAGGCACACACGTGAAGTGCTTGATGATGAGTGCTTGTGGCCTCGCCTCTTGTAATGGTCTTCTTCTTCACTTGAAGAATCATCCCATGACCTTATTGATGTGAGGTCTTTGTCCTTGCACGCCTTCTTCTTTGTCTTGGGTGTAGGCTTGTTTGTACAAACTTCCACAAAGTGCCCCAACTCGCCGCATCCATAACATCCTTTCTTTCTTTGCTCATTTCTTTGATTGGTGAAGATGAAATCTTGAATTTGGATGAGCACACCCTTGACATTGAGCCTTTGGATCATCTTCTCCACCTTGTTGATAAGCTTGATAGATTCTTCAACAAGGTCGGAGGTGGAGGAGGAAGATTGATCATCATCACTTGATTCTTCATCGTCATCATCCTCATCTTCTTCTTCATCTTCACTTGAGGAGCTTGAGCTTGAGCTTGTCTCAACTTGCTTGACCTTCATCTTCTTTTTTCTCACTACACATGAGAGCTTTGCCTTTGCTTGATGAAGAGGCTTCTTCTTGACCCATCTTCCATGACATTTCAAATGCCACTGTCTTGCCAATGACTATGGCCGGGGTCATGGTGCTCAAGTCCTCCATATTGTGAAGGATGGTGATGATGCTTGTATATTTCCTTTGTAGTAGCACGGAGATGATCTTCCTCACGATGTCCGCATCATCTAGCTTTGTTAATCCTTTTGAATGGAGCTCATTGATAATTAGATTCAAACGAGAATACATATCACGAACAAGCTCATCATCATTCATTTTAAAGGAATCATAATTTTGTTTAGCTAGACAATGTTTTTACTCACGGACATTAGTTGTGCCGTCATGGGTCTCTTGGAGTTTTAACCAAATTTCATGTGTTGTATTTAAAGCGAACACTTGGTTAAACACATCCATGCTAAAGGATTCAAACAAGCAATTTTTAGCTCTAGCATTGAAATGAATTTCTTTTTCTTCACTCTTTATGGGTTTATCGGGATTCTTAATGGGTTTTATCCCGTCACGAGTGACTCTCCAAACACCCAAATCTACCGCCTCAAGGTGACAAACCATTATAGATTTGTAGTAGGGGAAGTTAGTGCCGTCAAAGTACGGAGGCCTAGAGGTATCCATCCCAACCACTCTAAATAGCGTCGGCTCAACGGCGATGAAGCCAAAGGTCCAAACTTGAGCCAACCTGCTCTGATACCAATTAAAAGGGGACCGTGACGTCTAAGAGGGAGGTGAATTAGGCAACTTAAAAGTCTAACTCTAAACTATGGCCTCTTTTTTTATTCCTAGCAAAACCTATGCAAAAGATAAACTATCTAAATGTGCAACTACGGTTTTGCTAGTGTGTTGCTATCTCTACCGCAAAAAGAAGTTATGTAAACAATGTAAATGCGGAAGCTAAAGAGTAAGGTAGAGATATGCAAACTCTCGTCGACGACTCCGGTATTTTTATCGAGGTATCGAGAAGCGCGCAAGCTTTCCCTAGTCCTCGTTGGAGCCCCTCGCAAGGAATCCCTCGTAAGGGCCAAGCTCCCGGTCGGGTAACTCTACGGATAGCCCTGGGCCTTTCCCACGCACAAGTGGGTCTCCGGTGTGCCTTTCGGCAAGCCTCTCCCGGACCGCTCCCCGCCGTCTTCACTATCAAGCGTCTGGTCAAACTGTCGCGGGCCTTGTTCCCTTCAGTACACGGTGGCGGCCACACCACAAACGTGGTTGGTGTGATCTCGCATGACTACAAGCCCCTCCGATATACAACAATGGTGCGCGCAAGCACCAAGTGATAAGAGGTATGCAAACCTCACTAAACACTAGGCCTAAACCTAGAGCAAACGCATAAGCGGTGATCTAATCAACCTAAGCACTTCGCAAAGCATCTACGCTAATCACCTAATGAATCACTGAGCACTATGCAAGTGGAGATCACTAAAATGGTGTATCAACACCCTTGGTATGTTTCCTCAGCTCCACTCCACTCAAATGACCGGTTGGGGGGTCTATTTATAAGCCCCACTGAGAAAGTAGCCATTGGGAACGAAACTTAGCTTTCTGGTACTGACCGGACACTGATCACGTCCTGATCGGACGCGTCCGGTCGTCCCGATCGTTGGAGCGCCCGTGTTGATCGGACTCAGCTCAGAGTCCGGTCATCATCGACCGGACACGTCCGGTCGCGCTGGCACCGCTCTAGAACCTCTCTGGACTCGATTGGATGCTGCACTTCGTGCGTCCAGTCGTCCAGTCTGTTGCGTCCGGTCATGCTGAAAATACTGTCGTGACGATCAACAGTGTCACCGGTGCATCCGGTCACTGCTTCGCTCAACGTCCGGTCACTGCTGCTCAGCGTCCGGTCACAGCTGCCGACGCCTGCTGTTGCCTGGCACTTGATCGGAGCGTCCGGTCACTCATAGGGCCGCGTCCGGTCACCTCTGCCGGGCTCGTTTTTTCGCGATCTTGCGTCCGGTTTGGTTCCAATCTTCATGCTTGGACTTTGCTTGACCTTGTATGTCTTCTATGCATCTTCATATGTCTTTCTTGAGGTGTTGATCATCGGATCATCACGTCGCCTTCGTCCAAGTCATGTCTTGCACCCTATTGAACTACAAAACAATTGCTTTTAAATTCATTAGTCTAATTTAGTTATGTTGATCATCAAACACCAAAATCCACGTAGATGGAGTGGATCCGTGGAGGTGGATGGTGGATTAGGGTTTGGTGGATGGCAAGGTGGCGGAGCTCAAGGTAGGCGACACCAACGCCGCTGCTGGCCCAGTTCAACCAAAGGAGGGACCTACGGGACCTTCCGTCGAACACCTCGAGAGGTTGATTGAGGTCACCTGTCGACCGGGATTACGAACCGTGATCTAAGCAAGCGAGATCAGGAAATCGCTGTTGGGTTAGAGCTACCAAGGTGGTGGTGGTGGTGGTGGTGGTGTTAGTTGAAGATGACGGCGCCGAACCACTAGATCCGTCGTCGGAGATAAGGTAGCTAGCGGTGATGCCGAGCGGCCAGCGCCCATCACCCACACCAAGGATAGAACGTCTCTAATACCACTTGTCACACCCTTCGCCGCTGGCGAGGTCACCGCCGACGTGAGCACACAAGAGATACAGGAACGAGGACACCGTCGGGGCAAGCCCCTTTGCCTTGGCAAGTTCGATTACACGAATTGTCTGAATGTCGGATGGGGAACAGGGTTCAGGCACTTAGGTGCCATTTACAGACACTGGCCTCCCAGGCCCACATGTAAGTACACATTACTGAAAATGTAAACAGCTAAATGATAATACGCCATCACAAATACGTCTTCTCTTCAGGTGCCTTCTTCCTCTGCAGTGACACCAGGCGTGACAGAGGGCTCCATGAACCAGTTTCATTATTAGAGGTGCTGATTTAGATGTAAAACACTTCTCTGGCTGAAAAAGTAGATCAGCAACAGAATGACCTTGGTCACCAGATTCCTGCAATAACAAACCTCTTTATGTATGGAAGAAATGAACCCCACGTTATCCTTGCCCATGGAAACTCTTGGGTTGACCTAAGGAAATAACCAGAGGATTATCATAATCATATTGTACAAGAATGTTCCTTGCTTTCATCAAGATCTCACTTCTCTTCCGTACAACAAAATGAACTTCAACATCATCAACAAATTGGGTCAACTTGCCATCCTTTCTATCAGGCGAAAGAAACATCATGCTCCTAAGTTTGTTCTCGAATTCAGCTGTACTCCGCACAACATCTTGGAACTCAATTAGCTTGGATGCCTCATTGGGTACAGCCTGAAAACACATAGCAACAACCGGCTTCCAATGCAAATGTCTACAAACAAGAAAACTTAAACGAGGAAGTTCATAGAACCCTAAGTTTCTTGTAGCCAATAAGGATAGTTTGTAAGTTAGCTCATATCACTCTGTTCTTTTTCAATAAATTTGATTCTTCCCATCATGAAACTACAAAGATATATTTGACTCAAGATTTCAATTGGTGATAAGTTTGATGATACAAAGTGCGAATTAGAGGGACAACATATTTTCTAGTTATTCTACATATATGTTTTCTGAACCGAGCCATAGCTAGGTTGGTACTGTGGTACATACTACCTACGTCCTAAAAAGGATGCAATTATAGGGGGGGTTTTCTAGAACAACGCAGGAGAGCTGCATGTCATTTCATTAAGCCAAGGGAAGTACAAAGCAGGGAAGCAGGGCAGAGCATACTCCCCAAAACGCTCCATATTAAGAAAACCCGTATCTAAAGTTGACCAAGTTTATAGAAAATAGTGTCAATATTTATGACACCAAATAGGTATACCATGAAAATATATTCCATGACGAATCTAATGACACTTATTTGGTATAAAAAATATATTGGTACTTTTGTGTATAGAGTTGGTCAAACCAAAATAGTTTGACTCGGTATTATACTAGAATTGCATTCTTTTCAAGACGGAGGAAGTAAGTCAAGTCCAATTAATGAGAATATAATCAACAAAACTAACTTCACTAGATCATTATAGAGTGTACTTATAGAATTATACCATGAAAATGTCTACAAACAAGAAAAGAAGAAAAATGAAAATAGGAAGCTCATCGAATCCCAAAGTTGCTTGTAGTAAGGATAGTAACTAAGTTTAGGTCACTTTGTTCTTTTTTCTATCAAATATGATTCTTCCTATTGCAGGACTCAAGTCAAGTGTTCAATTTGAGGAAAGTATAATACTATAACCAAATTAGAGGGTCAACATAACATGAGCTTTAGTGATTTATATACATATTTTGTAACATCACATAGAGCTCACTATTGGAAGCATATACACAGGCCGATGGCTACAAAATCAAAACAAACCATATCGTTGCAGTTGAACCATTCAAAGGATTAATTTATATAGCAAAAGAAATATTCACAGTTCAATTAACAGTAAACAAAGAACCTATACTTGCTGGAAAGCCCCATATGTTCTAGCAGAAGTAGATGCTTGATGAAGATAATGCAAGTTAAGATATAATAGTTTTGTCTCGTATTATAGACACTAGACAGCAAAACTAATCATAATTCACAACGATGGTACTGTAGCAGTGTAGCTGATGAGATATGAGCACTAAAAGAACCACAGGAAATCAAGCAGTTCTTGAGTTCCCTTCCTCTGGTAAATCAGGAAGAACCATACCTTGGAGAGAGAGTGTGTGATAACCAGATCAGAAATTCTTGGCCAGATTAACTTTGCAAAAGACTGAACCCACTTGCTATTTTCCACGCAAATGAATTTGCACGCAAACTTGATGACATCAATTATTCTTGAGTACAGATTTGAACCATCTTTGTCCTTTAACAGTAAAAACCAGCTACGTAAGGCAAACAAGAAGCAAGTTTACTTAATCTGCAGAGTAATCAGGAAATAAAACTAATTACTGATTGTGGTTCCAGATGAACAAATATCTAATTCCCCTGCTCAATATTGCTAAAAAACAAAATATAATATTTACCGATTGAATTGTTTCTTAAAATGAAGATACACACTCAGCACATATATAGTAATGTGTTGAAAAATTATGGCAAAGGCACACAGCTGACAACGAACTGGGTCAAGGTAGCCCTTGAAAACAGAAAGTTATTACTTAGAATAAATGTATTGACAAACAATTTTCTTTAGAAATCAGGAAACACGATGAAAGCCTTACTTTTATTTCCTCAGAAGGGACTACACTCAAGACTGATACAGAGTGTTCTGGACCACCTTCCTCAAGAACTTCTACAGAAACCGTGACCTGTATGTTACTGATTGCTGGAACCAGAATATGTTTCATCATCAAGTCTGCAATTTTTGCCATCCCATAGCCTAGGGCATCAATAGTCTGCAAAACAAAGGAATGAAAAGATATACATTTGGAGTACAATGCTATCATATAATGTGGATCAACACTGGCAGCAACTGCCATCTCAGAAAAAGCCTAGAAGAAAGCGTCTATAGTCTGGGCCTCAAGTAACCTACGTTAGAGATACAGAACTACAGAAGTAAGGCATAAATAGAAATTAGTTGCAGTTAAGGATGCTCCCATCAATTACTTGTTTGTTGTCAGCAAACTCCCCTGTTTACAAGAGAGGAAATTATCAATAAATGGCTAACTTGGATTGATATTTAGATCCTTCTTTCTCTCTGAGCAGCATAGGTCTACCCAACCTAGCCATGACACCGCCTTCTCCACAGGCTACCCCTCCAAGGTGCGCAACATCGCCCTACCATCTACTCCTTCCAATTCAAAATACTTGTTGCTTTAGCCTCTTCTACTATCTTCAAAATACTTTATGTACAGTATTGAGGTAAATTTGAGTCATTTTTTTCCTATCTTATGCATCCTTAATTCCTTCATTGACTAGTATGGGGGAGAGTGAGCATCAGAGGTGTGCTTTTGGCATAATAAATGACCACTTTATAGAGGATTAAACATTGGTAGGATGGTCATTTCATTTACCTCCTTAGTTCCCATGCAAAAGTTAAAACAAGTGTTGTCAGTTTCAATCTAGTCCACACTCCGCAACATATCAAAAGAAGATAGCATATGAACTCAGGGAGCTGGTGCCTGGTGGAGCATATGGATTTTAGCTGGTGAAGGATTACATCAGTGTCTGAAATGTCCAGCACAACAGCCCACAAGGCTACAATCCTTGAACAACAGTTATCTTTAACAACAATTGTATTCATCATTTCTATAGCAATGCAGCTTAAACTATGTACAGCTTATGTTCCACTCAGTGTCCATGAAAAGCTCCCAACTAAGTTCCATTACCAATTGCATATTTTGTTTACAAGTTAGGATGGTCAAATTTACTGGAGCAGTCAAGCTGTGATGCAGAAGTACCAACTGAATTTTCTCAGTAAAACTCACCTCCAATGCCTGCAGGGCAACATGAAGCTCAACACCGTAACTTCCACAAGAGTGGCGTCTCGGAGTAGCCCTCACCACCACCTTACCTCCCTCTGGCGCAAATTCCGCACACTCCTCCACATTCTTTGCAAGCCCCACTTGCAGCTGTATCACCATCATAACGACAACCCAGCAACAACAATTAGCACAAATGCAAACCCTGACATAAGTTGAATCATTCTAAAGCGGAATTTCCTCATCACCTCGTCGACAAGTTGCTCCCAGTCACTCCTGAGGAGCCCAAATACGACCAGATCATCTTCACCAGATTCAGATCGCTCGGGATCGATCAGGAGGGTCTTGAGTTCAGCGACGGCAGCGGCCGTGTCAAGGGGGCTTGCTGCGGCACGGGCCTCGCGGAGGCAGGCAGCGAGCGAAGCAATTGTGGAGGCAGCGGCAAGGTGCTCCTGGTGCTCGGCGAGCTCGCGGCAGGCGGCGAGGAGGCGGTCGATCGGCAAGGGCCCTAAGGTCGGAGAGGTCGGGCGAGGAGGCTAGCGGGGCAAGCGTAGAGTCAAGGGAGGACTCGAGGGAGGCGGAGGGATCGGCGGCGGAGGCTGCGCGGAGGAGCGCACTGGCGAGGGCCCCGTGATTAGAGGCAGCGAAGGAGAGGGCCGAGGCGTGCAGGCGGTCGGAGCGGAGGCGTAGGCGTAGGCGGTCGATGAGGAGGTGGAGGTCGGGCGCTGAGAGGGGCGTGGACGGATCAGAGGCATCGGCTGTGGTGGAGAGGAGGAGCTCGCGCACGTCGTCGACTGCCATCACCGCCGGCGGCGAGGGGGTGCTCGGCGGCGGCGCATGGATCCTGACGGGCTTGGCTTGCTGACTTGAGCGACTGCGCTGCGGGAAGGAATTTTCCCCGTGTTGAGAACTAGAGATCTGTATTTCGCCAGATTTGCCATATTGCCCCTAACCATTTTGTTTCTTTCAAGTTTGAGCCTTTAGATCTTTGCTAGAAGAATCCAATTTTCAAGTTTAAGTTTGCATTAAGAGCTATAGCAAACTAGCAACATGGCCCCTCTTGGTAACAGTAACTCTCCCGCAATTTCATATCCATGCATACGTGCCAATTTGAAGCCCAACCATTTAGGCACAAATGTAGGGGGCTACCACTGCTAAGTTGAATTTTGTGAATTTTATCCGACCTATGTCATGTGGTTCATGCAATGGACAATCGGATCAAAATTCCAAACCAAGTTAGCAATTTACTATGGTGAAATGCTAACTTGAAAATTTTTGGCATTATCATATCTTTGTTAGGTTATCATCAATTACCAAAAAGATGGTGGCTGAAAGTCCTACTTTAATTTTGGTGATTGAGTGACAACTAGTGAAATAATGCTTTGCTTGAGTTGCTAAGCTAGGTTAGTCCTTGAGATGAAATTGAGCTAAGATAGGAGCATGGTGGAGATGATACTGACCACAGTGCAAGTATTCAACAAGGAAGAAGAGTTGCACTTGCAACGAGTTACAAGTTGTAAGGAGTTGAAAACAAGACCGAAGGCAAAGATACGATCTATAGGGGTTTTGTTTCGTCGGCTGAGGTGCAATAGAGTGTACAGTCGAGTTTAGAATAGATAGTCGAACTATAAAGTCATTATGGTTATATAATGTCACTAGGTGAGAACTAACGGCACAGATGAATGACCTAGTGCCATGGTGAGGAAGCAAGAGAAAATGATTTGAAAATGGTAACTTAATGCTAAAAAGTATTGTGATCCTTTAGAACACGTCTGGAGTTAGCATATTTGAAAATATGTTTAAGAGAAAGGCTTAGTGCAGGGTTTCTGCACTCACTGGATTTTTCTGATGCCCCTATGGGGGAGCACCAGAGCTTAGGTTCCACTGTTAATTCCGTCAGGGGTTTTAACTGGGCACCTATTCTTCGAGTAACCACTGGAGAATAGGTGGACACATGGCGGCGATCGGCAAAGGATGGCAATGTGCTGGAGTTTTCAAATTGCATCTGCATTTTGTCTGGTAGGGGTCCAAAGTGTCCTGGTGGTTCCTAGAACCTTCTCCAGAGAAGTTTCAAACCCATTGGATTTCTCTGGTAGTGTCTCTAGGGGAGCACTAAAGCAAAGGCTCCAGGGTGTTCCTCTCTGCAACGAGTTCTCATACACCAAATTTGTCTAATGGGTCACCGGAGAGAGCACTAGAGAAAACAAGAAAATCAACTTCACTGCATGGAATTTTTCCAGAGAGTGAGTGGGCACCAGATTTCTCTGATGTTGGCGATTGGGGAGCACCAGATAAAAGGATCCCCCAACGGCTAGTTTTGAATAGTGTCAATGACTGTTAACTGGTTATTGGGGTAGCTCCGGTAGTCTTCGTCAATGACCACCAGAGCTTTCAAGTGGTAGCTCAAGCAACCCATTGAAAATGCATAACGACTAGTCCTTGAGGGGGCTTATAAAGCCCCTTTGGCACGGCTCATCCAAAACGGCTTCCCGGTGAAGCCAAAGCCGGTGAAGCCAGAAAAACTGGCTTTTCCCTACTTCTAGTTCATTTTAATTTTAACCCCGGCTTACAAAACGGCTTCACGCTACAGTGCCTCGATTTGCGTAAAATAGATGAAGCCGAAGCCAGCATAAGCCGTGCCATAGAGACCCTAAATATAGTGTGTGGTTGGCCTTTTCAGCTCTCTTGTCCATTTATACTGATCACCACACACACCTAGAGGTCAAGAACACGTTCCACTCACTTTGCTTACGTGAGACTGCATATTAGAGTGAGAATGGAGAGAGATCTAGTGTATTTACTTTGAGAGTTAGCGTCTATGGTACTTGTTCGTCGTCCTACGGTTTTCTTTCTTATTATTATTGGTGGTTTTTTTAAAGGAAGTAGCTATATTAGTTTCGAAGCAACGGCTCTAACAAAGTGCAGCTATTTTTAGCTGGTACCTTTGCTACCGACCAGTGCGTGCGTGGCATACCTGGCCAAATCAAAGCATCCACGGAGTCCCAGGCGTGCGCTCTTCATCGTTGGGTGCACACACACACACACACACACACACACACACACACAAACTTGAGCACCCTTCACACCTGAAACATTACTCTTTCTGTTCCACGAGCACATTGCAACACGAAGAAAGTCTGAAACCAACGGGTTCATCATTCTACAATCCTGAGAGTTGAGACGTGTCATGTTAACAGCAGGTCGAATTCAGGCACCGGACAGATCCTGTGATTAGGAAATTTGTAGAGAGAGGACGAGCAGAAAGGATACATGGGATAGAATACATGAGAGCAACCAGGACAACATGAGTAGATAACATTCAGCTAGACATGTTGAGAAATGGCTTGGCATCAAGACACGCAGAGTTTACCTTGTCCGAGGTACGTGTACTACCCGGACACAGGCAGATACATATGCTGTACTTGACTTAACTTGTAACACGCGGTTATATGAAAGGTCACTCAACCCTAGGGATGTGAGGTGTTTATCTTTCTCCAGTTATTCTCTACTGGAGCTGTAAGGCGATGCATTACCCTTGTAACACAGTTGTTCAAAAGCAGTGTCGGTTTCTGTTCGATATGGTTGTACGAAGCACTGAAATCTGCGGAGGAAGTACCTGATCACCTCTAGCGCCCCTCCAGTGTTGCGAGGGTCATATCAATTACGCAGCTTTCTCCTCCTCCTGCTTCACCAGTTTCATAATGCCTCCTTGCAAAGTATGCAGGCTCTCCCTAGGCTGTGGGAGCTCTATGCCTTCGTTATCAAGGCTCGCGACCACCCATGGCATAGGTGGACGAGCATTTGGGTTGTCTTGCACCAACAGGAGTCCGATGTGGATACATCGTAGATTTTCGCCAAGTGAAGAGCCCTCAACAATCGATGGATCAACCAAGTTCCGCATGTTTCCATCCTTCCATAATTTCCATGCCTGAGTCAATGATCACGTCAAGGTTGCATTTCATATGGGTCAAGTTTTAACTTTTGAGAACCTGAAAGTACTTACGTAAGCTATAAGGTTGGGTGAGCCTGTGACTGGGCCTGTCGTGCTCAAGGTTTTTAATTTCGGTATTGCCAAAATTTCGGCCACCACCGAAATTACCGAATTTCGTGAAATTCGGCCGAAATTTCGCCGAAATTTTTTTTTAGAGATTAGCACATGAAGTATGTTTTTTCTAAAAAAATTTGGATCTAAACAAATATTAGTATGATTTATGACTACATATCTATTAAATAGAAGAATATGCAATATAAACAATAGAAAAATATAAGATTAGAGTTATATAGCACATGTATTAGTGTATTAAAAAATTTCGAAGTTTTCTTTCGGCCACCACCGAAATTACCGAAATTTCGTGAAATTCGGCCGAAATTTTGAACCCTGGTCGTGCTGACCTTTGAGCCACTCACAATCTCCAGAAGCATGACACCAAAGCTATAAACATCGGATTTGACAGAAATGATGCCTTCCAATGCATATTCTGGTGCCATGTAACCACTTTTTTGGAAGATGAGCACACATCACAATTTTAACTAATTAGTTCAAGAACAATGGTGCGTTGCTTCAAAATTACTTCATGTATGAAATCACTCACAAAGTTCCAATGACCCTATTAGTACTTGTGGTACTTGATTGTTGCTCGTTGACACTGAAAGTCCTGGCTAGACCAAAGTCAGATATTTTGGGGCTCATTTCAGCACCCAACAACACATTGCCTGCTTTGAGATCTCTATGAATTACTGTCAATCTTGAATCTTGGTGGAGATATAGAAGGCCTCTAGCTACACCTTTGATTATCATGAATCTTGTGGGCCAGTCAAGCAGTGATTTTCTTGCAGCATCTGTCAAGGATAGAATCAAATGAAGTTCTTATCAGTGCTTCATGTTTCTTTCATCAAAAGTTGAGCTTTTGCAAGAAGTGAACAGAACATACTGAACAGGAAGGCATCCAAACTTTTGTTAGGAAGGTATTCGTAAATCAATAGTTTTTCATCTGCATGAATGCAGAAACCTAGAAGTTTAACTAAGTTTCTGTGCTGCAACTTGGCAATCAGAGCTACTTCATTTTTGAACTCCACTGCCCCTTGGCCAGAACCTTTGCCAAGCCTTTTCACGGCGATTTCCTTATCTCCCAATGTTCCCTGAATAAATGAAAGGTTCTTGAATGTTAGAAATTACATTACTTTCCAACCACCAAAAGTTACCAGCAAAAGCCTTGCTTACCTTGTAAACAGTACCAAATCCTCCTTGTCCAAGTATGGTGGAATCAGAGAAATTCTTTGTTGCAGTGGCAATTTCTCTAAAGCTATATAATGGCAATTCTACACTTTCACCAGCAACTTCATTAGCAGTGCTCATATCTCGTAGCATCAGTCTATTCTGGATCTCTGTACTTCCTTGTTTGTCTGAAAGGAACACAGGGGATTTGATACAGTTTCTCCAGTTTGCAAGAACTAGAGAAAGCAAATAAAAAGGGAAGAAAATACTTCTCTTGTCTACCTCTAAACCAGTAGGTACAAATAACCCCTATGCATATGAATACAAGGAAACTTGTCACAGCTGGCAGTGCAATTTCTAGGGTTTTGGTCTTTGTCATGTCACCTGCAAAAACTAATTCATGGAGAATCAACAAATTATTTCCAATCCACAGACTATATGTCGAGTATTTCTCATGCAACATCTCCTTTAGTTTAATGCTTCACAAATATAGATCCCTCTTCACTTTACCAGGAAGAGTTCAAAAACCTATCTGGGAAGATAAACATACAATTAATAGCAATAAATCATACCGCTTGATTTGTTGATCCGAATATAGAGGTCTCCCTCCTTGGCTATACCTCTCCATGTCAATCATCTTCCCAGTCCATATCAAGCACCTTGTGTCATCGCCATTGATGCCTTTGGTGCTCATGTTGGCATGAGCATATGCCACACAGGAGCAGTTGCTCCAGCATTCAGCTGCACACTCATCAAAGCTTTTGTTCCGGAGGAAGATGAAATGATCAGGGACCTTCATGTGGCAAGGTCAAGAAACCATGTCCACCACATCTTAGCGCCGTCTTCTGGCGACATCCCTGTGAAAATCTGCCACTGACCCAGCCTTCATCATCATTTGGCTCAAAACCATCAAGGCACTTGCATGTTGGGGCAGTTCCAGTGTTGTCACAGTAACCATAAGGACCACAGTAACCATACTCATTGCACTTATGTGCAGGCTGTGTGTACAAGCCTGTCCATACTGACATGTTACTGTCCCAGCTTAGAATATTTACCTTGCCTGAGTAATTTATCTCCATTCTAATCAGCAAAGACAAGCTGGCAATCGGCATGCCGAAGGACATGTATACCTCATCATCAGCGCCACGATGTAGTGCCATGTAAATGGTAGAATGAAGGTTTTCCATGTAGCCACCGAGAAGGAAATAGCTAGTCCACACTGGGCTTTGACGGTGCGGTCTTGTGCCATTCAAATGAACTGCTGCAGAATACTGTTGGGGTCTGCACCATATAGGAGAAGACCCCAGGGGATGGGTCCTGCAGGCCATTCCAAGAAATGAGGTGTTGTATTTGATGCATCTTGTGGCTGATCCTAAGTTTCATCCCAGGCAGAAGAGTATCAGATGGATGGTCGAAGCTCTGCCATAGTGTGGTGCGGTTAACATTGCCCAATGACCGGAGGATGAAGTTTCCGGTGTTTTCTAGTGTGGCTTCTGCAGAGACACGGCTTCTGATGTTTGAACTCCAAAGGACACGGCCATTGGCATCAGACAGGACAAGGTTTGTGCTACTGTGCAAGGCGAGCATTACAGACGAAAGATCAGTGATTGGTGCACCACGGTTGGCAACCCACACAACGGTGTGCTGTGGGATGTTGTTGTACCATATACCAAGGTAGTAGTGTTTCTTGGTGGATTTGGATGGGGAGAAGAAGCCCAGGGCGAAGGTGCCATCATCGGACACAAGAGTGTTACCTGGGGAGAGCGGCTTGCCGGGGACAAGGCTATTGCGGGATG